TTATACCGTGCTGCTATATCCGGGATGGAGCGACGTTAAAAAACATACAAGAATGTTTTCATATAAAATAAAATTTATAACATTTATATATATCTATTAAATTTCATATTCACTTTAGAGCTACTTTAGTTTTATTGTGTTATAAAAGTCCTAGACTATTAGGCGTCATTCTAGAATTTATTCAATGCACACGTTATAGCCCACAGACATTACGCCGGCGACACAACTTATCAATATACAGGGTGACTGGTGAATTACTATCAATATTTAAGGAGCATACTCGGTACATGATTCTCATTCGAATTATGTAAAAAAAATAGGTACTTAATTTTTGACCAAATTTCCGTATAAATAAATAAAGTGTGTACACGTTCCAAGTGTTAACGCGTGCGGCGGCGTGCTGATACAACAACACGCCGCCGCGCGCGTATGTGTGTGTGTACCTAATACCTAATATGTAGGGTGTTCATACGATGCGTAATTAATTACACAACTTTTGGTTAATTTTACTTAGAAGTTTATTAATATTTATGTTATATTAATTTTTATTTTGTCATATATGATTGTCAAATATCACGTCCTCAAATATCGATAGTAATTCACCAGTCACCCTGTATACATTACATATCTTCTATAAGTATTAAAAGAAATCGTCTTTAACAAAAATACCTTGTAAAATTGTTTTCGCATTTGTCATTCCGAGGGTTATAACCGAAAGATTAGAGAGGGGAAACGCGGTTTAAGCTCTCTTTAATAATTAAGTCACAAAATGTAAATCTTAATACCCTTGAAACCCGTTTTTAGGAAATCTCTTTGTGAAAATACGAAACGAAACCGTTTTATAGCAGGTTTAGTCATTCGGATTGTTGACTTTGCTTAAAAAATTTCTTAGACGTTACTATTCCCGAATTCGACTTGCGCCGAGAATAATTAATTTATATTGATTATAAAAATTCCATTAACATTTCTTTTGATTGAAATTTAATATACATTTTAATACAAATACGTATTTATCGATAGTTGTATAAATTATACCAACCTATACATTGTTTAATTCATTGTTTATAAAAAGCAAAATAAAATCTTCAAATTTGTCAACTCGTAAATACTTAAGTAAATAAAAATTTGTTTGATCTCGAAGAAACTAATATCTTAAGAATATAAAATTTGATTGATATCTCGTCAAGTACGATGACAATATATTATATTTGGCTAATAGGTATATAGTAAGATTGTACGTAAATTTTTACACAATAATAGTAAATATGTTTTATCTCTGCACTATAACTATCTTATAAGCAAGTGGTGGCCTAGTGGTTAAAGGGTCCGCCTCTCGTTGCCGAGGGCGCGGGTTCAAATCTGGCAAGTACCAATATGATTTTTCGGAGTCATATGTATTTTCTGAGATTATTTAGACACCACTGACCTACGGTGAAGGAAAACATCGTGAGGAAACCTGAACTTATAGTTTCACAGTTATAAGTTTGAAATCACCAACCCGTCCTGAGCAAGCGTGGTGATTAATGCTCAAACCTTCTCCATGTGAGAAAGAGGCCTTTGCTCAGCAGTGGGCGTTGATAGGCTGATGACGACGATATAACTATCTTGAGTGTCTTGAGTGATTAGAATAGTATATCTGATTTATTATCAACTTTATCTCATTGTACCCAAATCCCAGTCCGTCATACATCAACACAAACATATATGCAATGAAACTCATCCACACTCTATGAAAGCCAATCACACAAACAGTGACAACTAAGTCCTTATGAGTATAAAACTTTATACCTCTTAATAAACGCCAACCACAAACAGGCGTAAAATATAAACATAATAAAATTCAAAGCTATTAATCTCACATCTACACTCATTACATTTTAAAAGGGTCGTTAAACTGGACCTTGTATATAATCGAGCATTTATCCGACACACGCACTAATGACAAAGAAATTGTCGCAACAAAGCTTCACATATTTACACAACACGATATTTTTATCGTAAGTATATTATTATTAATAAAAATTTATAAAAAATTCTCTTTCTCTAAATACCGCTACCGATATTGTCATCTTCAGTTCCTTAAACCAAACGAGTTTTTCAAACTGTCATTAATTAAGAATATCTGATCGTATGTATTATTGAAATTAATACAAATATCGTATCGAATAGTATAAATGATTACAGAGTAATCGCTAGATGTGAATCATGTGTTCGAGACGGGTCATTTGTGGGCAAATTGTCTCAGCGATCCATAAATACTTCGGCTTGATCTTTAAACGTAATACTCGCTTTATAGCATGTCTCGTGTCAAATAAACCACATCTGTATGCTTAGCACATGTTTCAATCACACTTCACACGGAACGTTTCCCGTTTCTGTTCATTCAATCACCGACTTCGGTATTACAATGTACGAAGATTTATGAACGAAAAACTATTAACGTTCTGTATGTAGTGTGACGATGCAAACTTGGGATAAGCGTACAGATGTGTCCAGAGATATAAATCACATATGAATCGTGTCCGTGAGCTAAAAGATCTGACTAAAAGAACTAAACAACTAATATTTTTCTTGTTATTTAAAAATATATCTACGTAAATGACTACTCAATAAGTTTTATTGGTTAAAATTTTAACAGCTATTTACATTTGACGGACTTTATTTAAGTAATATAATGATAATGCTAGAATATGCTCCATTTGCACTAATTTTATTTAAAATATTGAACCACATAAATATTTCAGATACAATTGCAGTTACACTTATCAAAATATTAATGTCAATCTATACCACCGATGTCAAAGCTTATGGGTTTTACCACAGCTCAATATAGGGATTAATGAATAATTCTGGTTAAAATATACTTTTATACTAATACTCTTGCATAAACAAACATAACTTATACTCTTGCATAAACAAACAAAACTGAAACAATAAAAAATAAATTTTTATATATCATGACTCTAATTACTACTTCTCAGACTTTGAAATTTACCGAAATATTGTGTATAGGTATATAATATTGATGTATATTTTAAATATTACATTAATGATAAATGAAGAACTATTGTTTAAAGTCAATCCTGCAGTATAGTTCAGATATGCGAAACCGTTGGCAATTAATATTAAAAATTGATGAGTAAATTAACTCGTGAACTTATATCAACACGTCAACAATTCGTTACGCTAATGGCTCGGATCTGTTATTAATATATGGATGAAATAATTGAATAATTCAAACAGCATGGTTGGAAATGTCGTCGCAATATGGCGTAATCCAAACTCGCTGAGATTTCCTCTTTGTAAATTTACTTTAGTTTTAAAGGGTGCACATTTTATTGCAGTTGCATTTTTACAAGTTCTCCTTCTGTATTTGCTATGACGATTGTTTTAAAATTCATTTAGCCATCAGAAGCTTTTCGTTATAGTGTCTAAATGTAGTGTAATTGTCAACATCTAAATGATAAAAACATTGCTTTAAAAAATAATTTTTTATTCATATTTATAACTACGTTATTAGAAACTAATTTGAATTTAAAAATAACACCTAACTTATATCATATACACAAGTAATTTATTGGAAAGGAAATTCAGTTTTCTAATCAAATTATTCATATTGTGATTAAAAATGTAATTAAAACAAAACTTTTGTTCTTAAAGCACCTTATCGTCAATTTGATGTTTCCTTATATTCTAAGATAAACTGTTTAATAGGTGACATTCTTTTATTACTATTAATTTTACAATGATTGGATAGTGCTACATTGCATCCTTTGGTAGGTGAAAAACAAGTCGCAAGTGGTAAACACACTATGTGTGTAACAGCCTATTCACTATATTCTTGAAGACAACTAAATTATACTTGGAATGAAACAGACGCAGGCAAATTGTACCAATTCTTTACTGTCCGCATGAGGAAGAAAAAAGGTCTACAATGGATGGAAATTGGAGGCTCATCGTGGGTCTGGTTGTCCAATGATAAAAAAGGTGCAAGAATATTATGAGACTGGTCATTTCACGTCTGAACTCAAGTCTGACTGCTATGGTTTTAACAAAATGGTCATCACTAATAGGCCCTGCACTTATCTCCTAAGGAGTCCAAAGCTATGAGATGACAAATTTGAGCGCCTGGCCGAATTTAAAAGCAGTCTTTCACACAGGACCAAATCAGTGCTTTGTATAGACAAAGAAGTTATCGCGCTGTAAAGTACTGAAGCTATTTAGAAAGAAATACTGAATAAAACCTGAACAAAGTTAAGGTTTGGATACCTTAATAACTGAAGGCGATCAATGTATGTACATATGTATCTCAATTATATGTTCTGAAAATTACGAGTCAAGGAGAACTAATTCCTCTAGACGACCAAAAGGCACGCGACACGTTGCGTTAAATTTCATAAGATTATCATCAAAAAATTCGACGAAAATGTACAAAAATATGTTTATTCCAGTGCAAAATGATATCACTATAAACATAAGAAAGATGATATGACAGACACTGTAACATGAAAAAATTATGACGAAAACACAAATGAAAAATATTTTCAGTATACATTTAGTAATGTTTTCATAAAGTAAATATGCGTGCGATGACCTAGATTTCAGTAAAAAAATACTTCATACGTTTGTACGACCTTGAATGTATAAATTTATGATGACGCGTCAAACCGACCAAACTCAGTCGGTGGCGGGATTTTATTTATTTTTACTCTTGTGACTCATACCCAAGTATAAATACGTTATGATTACTCTACGCTGGCTCACAGTAGCCTTACCTAACTTGTGGCATAAAAGAAACGAATGATAGATAAAAATGTTATAAATAATAATTAGCTATTATAGATAAAATTACTCGTAAGCTTTTTGCTGATATATTACTTAACAAAAAATATACATATGTAAATGTTTTAAGGAAATAAATACGTATAACTGTTGTAACTAATTTGATTTTAGTCCTACTATTACAAAACTTATCAGCTTAGCGACATACTCATTAATATTTAAGTGAAAAAACTCACCGCTTGTATAAAGAAGTCCTTATGCAGAACGCTGACGATGCCGAAGTTGGTGAACTTAAAAACCCTGTCCATGATCCACATCAGGTTGGAGAGTACTCCCGGCCGAGGGTTCCAAGCAGTCATCAGCATGGGCACATCAGCAGTACTCTGGTGATTCGCCAGGACAAGGGTCCGACGATTACTACAGGCCGTTGGTTCATCTCCAGACTCGATTACTGTGGAAAAAAATTACACTATAGTTAAGTATTTGATATTACAATTATAAAGTACATTATGATATAAATGCTGTACATCTATTATTTAGTGAGGAACATCGCAACAGCTCTTGTATTTATAGTATTCGATTTTGTGTTTTGTGTTCCATTCATAACAATTCAAAATTAACTATGCAAGCAGAAAAATATATTTTAACAAAAATAAAGCAATAGTAAAACGTTTATAAGTATCATTTGATTACTTTGTACGTAAGTCTAAACCTAATTATAATTTTTCCATGTTAAATGTTCTCTATTTATGCATTTTTATCTCAGAAAATGCAGCTAATCCTTGAGATCATCTCCTAGATACCGCCCTCAGCTATACCCGGTCTTCCTTTTGAAATTCACTTTACAGAAAGAAGTTCATGTTTCAGTTTTAAGCACGAGAGAAATTCTATTCATAATAAATTACAATAAAATATAAATAAATATAATTTCATTTCTCTTGAAGATTTGAAATTCTTACTGCATTCGAGATTATTTTCATTTCAATGTTTATTTGTATTTATGTAAAAGGCACCATAGTTTTCTATGTAATTTAACTAAGTTATAGTGACTAGTAACGTTATAATACATATAAGAATGTTTGTAAATGGAACTAAGCACCAAACATAACCAGATTTTTAAGAAATTCAATATCTCCTTAGCTGTGTAAGTGCTTGGTTGACATCATTAATATGACCGGATCCCTATTTACCAAGCTCCCATTCATCAGAATACATCTATCCATTTAAATTCAAGCTGAGCGAGCAGATCACGATTAGGAATAGAGTTGTGTTTATTTTGCGAGTAAATACAGAACCGAATACTATTTATTTGAAACGGTTTCTCTTGTTTGTTGAACGTGACGCTAAACATAGTGATGGATTTTGATAAGGACTTTGAGTTTAGTTATTACTTTATTGAAACATCAAAGAACGTATAAGTTATAGCTGCATGTAATACATAACTGAAAGTTATTTAATTATAACACAAGAACGTATCACTTAGGTTATATAGCAATATCATCATACATTTATCAAGTTTTCTGAAGTGACACATATTTTTTATGTTTTAATACTTGCGCAATCTATTATTGGAGTCTCAAAAACAATTGTTGTTACGGATTAAGTTTTTTCGAGTGCTGTTTGAATCTATTTATGCGTTTGTTTCCTTCACTCGCACACTTCATTATATTAAAAGCGGTAAAATCCATTAAGAGTTAAAACAACAGTATTAAGAGTCGCGTCTCGGGAACAACGCTTTTATCAGAATCCGTCCACCCCAAGCGAGATGACGGTGAATGAAAAATTTGAATAAAGGGAAAAAATCACATCATTACCATCTAAGAATCCCATGCATTCACTCTAAATAAATAATGGAATAGTATTAAAATTCAAATTACACTCTATCTCTTTAAACTCAGCCCTCGCCACCCTAGCAACCTATAACAGAGACTCCCTCTGAACCTTTATAAAAATTTATTAACATTTTTATGAAAATGCAACTCTTTCAGTCCATACAATTACTTCAGTTCTGTTCTCATATTTAATTATAATAAGTCCCTTTTGTACGTAATCTGTATTATAATTAAACTATTAAAGTTCCACTAAGATGATATTATTCTCTCAAACCGTACGGCTCTTTTGTTATTACGAAGGAGGAAATAGCGAGACTTATTTAATATGAAAACTCTTGTAATATCTTCAAAGGAGAGGCCTCTTTACATCTCGTAATGTAAAACAAAGAACTTAGTATTCCGTTAATTGTACGAATAATAAAAATATTTTACTATACGTGGCTGGATCGTCGTGGTTTTATATATATGATCTCAATATACGTGAAATAAAATAGTAAAAAGTATATTAAAAGAAAAACTTAGAAACAATCGATGAAAATAATCTAAAACAATAAAGGCAAATTTCCGTACATATTAACGTTATTTTTAAAGTATTTTTGTATAAAATTTCTTTAAAACAAATCTTTTATATCTGTTATTAAGAAGATAAGAACTCTGAAAATATATTTATTTTTTCCTTACAATAACTTGCGAAAAAGCAAAACCGAAAGTATAGTTATAATAAACTATGAGAGAAAAGTTAGTCACGACGATTTTAAGTTGAAAATGTAATATCATTTTTAAATTCATTTAGATATAAAGTCGCCAAAATTCATAGGAATTTAGAGAGTATAGTTATTTATTTAAAAATGTTACAGTTACAAGATTATCAGATGTGAAATTTGATGTTGAGATAAAATTAAAGTTCCATTAACTTCAAGGATTCCCTCATTAAACTCTGATCCCCCGAGGCTTACATATTTCAAATAAATAAAATAAGAAAATCCCGTCTGTAAGACCTGAGACTATGAGACTGTGAATTTTAATAAAAACGAAATTAACGAAAGTAATATTATCTGAATCTCGTGATCTGACGCAAACATCCGACTGGATAGTAATTTGTCTTATTTTTTCGAGCAACACTATAATTCAAACCTAATTCATAACAAGGGAAGAGATGAAAGCATTATGCATCAATACTTTACTTAAGATTAATACTTAAAACAAAATATACACAATATTTATACGTATAAATCCTCAAAAAAAAAATTAAATTATTTCACAATAAATTACATGAATTTCATACAGAATTATTAAAACATCTCTTTACATAATTGTCTTATGTCTGTTTCCGTTTTGAAATCCAAGAGATGCAACCTTTAATTACTTAAGGAAAACTCCTTTGAGATACTTAATTACAGTATCGTATCAACTTTTGTAATTTGCCAGCGAACGATCTCACAATTAGAACGTATTTCATCTTAATATTTTGTTCCTAATGGATGGTTTTTCAACCCATAGTAGGTGACCGTTATAATTAGCTTTAATTTCAGAGTATTTTATTTTCCATTTCGTAATGCGCTTCTATTTATATAAGAAAATGTTATAATACTAACAAATAAAGTATGATAAGAAAAACAATAAAATGGTCAATCAGTAAAATTCAAGTAACCAATGTGGAGCGTTACTTTCAAGACGTTATTTAGACTTGATTGCGGATTACCAGACGCAATTTGATACACGATTTATTCGAATAAAATATATAAGTAAGGATTCATTGATCTTCTTAAGAATACAGAATCTGTATTCCGAGGAAATTAAATATCTGATGTTTTATAGAACAATTCAATATTTAATGTATTATATTATATTAACAAATCATGTAAGATTTTTCATTGTTCATTCTCTATGAACTCAAGAATTGTTATTACTTAGCTTTGGCTGTATTTGTTTAAAAAAATCCAGTTCGTATTTAATTCGTATCTCTAATTGAATGTACGACGTGTACATTTCATCAAAATATTGTATTAATAATTAAGTCAGCTTAAAATAATTATATAATCAAGACCAAAATAAACTAAATTCTTACGTTGACAGCAATATAGTGGTCAGTCAGAATCGATTGTGTTCAAGGGTGTGTCACGTTAGGAGGTAAGATTCACTTAAACTAAGTAATGCAGTTTTAACCTCGGATCTGCACACTAAATATCTATGTATGTATATATGTTTTTATATAAATATATTGTTTCCAGCCAAACAAAATCAATGAAAATCAAAGCTATAAATAGAGAATATCATTGAGAAAATTACTATCTGTTCAAACGATTAAATAACACTGATTGATATTTGAAAGTTTTTTATACTGTACTGAAAATTAAAATGGCCATATGAATTATCGAGCAGAAAATCTAGAAGATTTCTTTCCAATCCTTTATCATAATGTAATGAAGTCATCATATTAAATGCGACCGAACATTGTTAATATTCAGTGTGTCTAGGACACAGGATTTGTAATTCAGATGGAAATGTTTATGTATGTATTTTCCTTATCACATGTAATTGGTCGCCAACAGAGATGTCACTCCAACTAATTATATTCATAACATGTTTATATGTCAGTCACTCTGTTCGTGACAATTCAGTTTCGAAACAAAGACACTGCGGGAGTTTTAATAAATGGATTCTTTTATTGTCTCATTTATATATAAATATACATAATTATATTTCATAAATAGTGGAACGAAAAGATATTTTATTTTAACTAAATGTTTACCAATGAATTGATAGGAAAATATATATCAATTTACTGTAAAAATCAAAAGATTGATAGTATTGCGGATTTCTATGAGCGACGGCGACTACTACCTATGAAGTAGCCCGCCTGCTGGTTCGTGACCTTACACATATAAAAAGTAAATATAATTCTTTTTCATTCAACACAATTAATAGTTAATGACGACACTCTGAATCATCATAAAACAATCGAATCTCCACATTCGACTAGTATGAAGTGAGGCCTGAAGCTTGTTTTATAAAAGCCAGGGTAAATAAAGCATGAGGGTCAAGGGTAACAGCGGGACCGCAGCGGGAGACGAAGTAGCAGGATATACTTAACGGATATTTGGGATTCTGATTCAGGCACTTACTTGTCTTATAAGTGACATTATATGTTTGTTTCTTCTATATAATCCAAAACTATACAAGTATATAGAAATGCTTTATATAAGGAATTTTGTTCACTTATGTGTTTTATATATATAACAATTTGTGCAAGTTATATACTTTCTATAGCTAGGTATATACTATGTATATTCTAGTATATAAGATGAATTTTACAGAATATTAACAAAATACATGTACATAATTCATTGAAGGAAGCCGAGCAAACATAATATGTTCGAGCGGTTTTAATAATGCTCATATGAATACCTCAGGGATATAAAATAAATCCGGGGACTTTGTAATAAAAGTTCAGACGAAGGTTACCATCGCTCAACGACAGCGATCTATTGAAGGACAATGCAGTATGTGCCATTATAAGTAGAACGACACTGAGTCCACTAGAGAAAACAATTTCATCGCTTAGTTTTAAGTACTGCAGTTAGAATATGAGGAATATTTTTTTATCATACTAATACAGTGTTCTATCATGTCTTAATTACTGTAGTGATAAAACACAATTTAGTGTTGTATTGCATACAACTTAGAGTGTATAATTGAAACTAAATTATTTTAAAAATCAAATTATTGACTTCAAGATTCAGTTTATCTGTTATTTCGATAGTAGGATTTCATTGTTATAAATTTAATGGGATAGTTTTTGTGTCAAGGGATCCTTAAAATGGCAGTCATTCGTTGTCACAATTTTTACATTTATTTCATTCAACTTGGGTTATAATGTAGAAAGCCACTATAAAAGAAATGTGTCGTACTATCAGAATGATATTTTAATTAATTTTGCCTATAAGGTATTCTTTTCTAGCTGTACAATTTCTGAATATTTCGTTTCTAATACTATAGAATTCTGATATATGTATCAATGAAACAAATTTATAAATATACATGTTTTCTGAATAATAATATTAGCTTTTGACTCCTTATAATTTCTATGATAAGGATTTAAAATATACGTATTTCATAAATTATGAAATATGGTCACTATACACATCGAGTTAGTACTACATAACAAGCCTTGATAAGGAAGAAAAAACGAACCTATAATCCATACTTTAATATTTAATAAAGACTTGAATAAATACATATTTGTTTTAGACTTTAACTCTCAAATACCAAAATATAATTTGCATAATTTCTAATATACTTTTTTTTCAAAGTATAATGTAGGTATGAACATAGTTGAAGTAATGAAAATTTACATATGTATGAACTTTAATATACATATGA